ACAACTTATATTCATAACAGAAGATAAAATTCACTGCTAGAAACCGAGGGGCACAGAAAAAAGAAGAATGCTTAACAGTTGATGATGGACATCTCCAATCTCAATTAAGCTTTGCTCCCAATTCCCATTGAGGGGGAAGCAATCTGTATTAATTGTTACATGGGTAATATATCTTTTTATTTCTTTGCAGGTTCAAATTTCCAATGCAAGTTTATGGAAGATTTGGAGAGTACCACTCGTTATGTTACTTGGTGACTTTGTGAGAGTTGATTTCTGCACTGTTCCACATCTACACATGTACACAACAACAGTATAGCATCTTATGATGGAGTACCAGCAAACTTGCATAGTAGCAGGGAGGCACTAAAAAGGTCACAAGTTGCTATTTACTTATATGCATCCAAATAAGTACAAGATGGGGATTGACATCACAGGGAGCTGCATCCAAACAGGGATAAACGTGTTAAAATGTAATGAGAACAAGAACAGAAGAAAAGTCAAGTGGCACTAGATAACCACATTTGCAAACTTGATTTGCCTCTCTTTATAGTATACAGCTATCTATCATACGAAAAATTTATTTATTGCTTTCTTAACATGGACCGCCTAAATTTTACACGGTTAAATGAATAAATTACATTGAGCATAAATCTGTGAAAAAAAAAACTATAGGAGATATATATGACTTAAAAGTATGTAGTTAGGTGTTAGAAAAAAAAAAACAAATTAGGAAGATCTTTACGAAGAATTTGAGCAATAGGACACAAAACAGTCGGCCCTGTTTGGTACAACTTATGTGGTAAGCGCTTCCCAGATAAGCTGCACAAATAGAGTAAAAGCGGCGGTCAAACTAAGCTTGTCTGATCCAGCTTCTGCAGATGAGAGCGGTGAGAATAAGCGCGGCCGAAATAAGCTGCAAAAAAGTGTCTCGTTTGGCTATTGGTTTCAACTTATTTTGGCCATAAGCAGCTTATAAGCTGTACCAAATAGGCCCAAACAGGTCTGCGAGCCGGTCGTAGGCCTATATGGTAAGTAAAGGATTAAATGAAAACTGTAATTCCAATACGACTGGCGGATTAAATGAAAACTGTGATTAAGGATGTTATGGCAAGCGGAGCTGGTCTAGGGGCCCACGCGGTTAGGATTACTCCCTCCGTCCCAAAATATCTATCGTTTTCGCCCCTTCCCGAGAAACAACTTTGACAAAATATATATTAAAAAATATTAATATTTATGGTACATAATTGGTATCATTAGAAAGATCTTTGAATCTAGTTTTTTAATAAATTTATTTGGAGATACAAATGTTGCACGTATTTTCTACAAATCGAGTCAAACTTGTGGCACGGAAACCAAAAGCGACAGATAATTTGGGACAGAGGGAGTAGTTAGAAAAGAGATAAGTTAGGAAAAGGATAAGATAGATTGATTTGGTTAGGATTATATTACTTAGGGGTCAAGTAAGTTGTCTCTATAAAAGAGACCATCATGTATCAGTTAGAGTCATTAGGAAAATGGATAAGTTCCAGTAAGAAAAACCGAATGACATTGGTGCTATTATTTATGACTAGTTTTTAAGACGTGTTCAATCCAAGTAGCAAAAGACGTGCTCAGCCTCTAAAAAGAGCATCCTTAACACTAATCTGCTAATGCCCAAGTACTAGTAAATTAAATATTTACCGTAAAAGAACTAGTGAAAAAGCAACTGAATCTGAATGGAACAAAAATGAACAAGTACATAAATGTGCTGATCTTGCCTGACAAAAAATGGATTCATTTGAGAAAAAACTAATAGGACATAAGAACGATCTAAATGGAATGAATCTGAATATAAAAAGGACTAATTTTTTACAATTTAGCTCTGACTCTGTCTAGAAAAAAGGGCTCGATAGAAAAATCTCGTAACAAACAGCTACGTAGAAAAATGGCAGGGACAATGTGGTCTGAGATTCTGAGAAAAATGAGATCAGGAGAGATTCTTTTTAAGAACTCTGAGCAAGACTACAAGTTGACAATATCAGTGGACAATACATGCTGCATATGTTGACAATATTCAATCTCTAGATAGATAGTTAACTTTGCCTCACTAGGCACCACCTGCTACGACCATGATAATCATGAATAATTTCTATCATCATCATGATACAAAGAACAAAGAGCCATAATTAAACAGGCATAGGAAGGTACCTTCCACCATAAAGAAACAAAAATAGGGTAAAGAATGAAGCTCCAATAGTTCAGCATTCTGTACTAAGCTCCAAGCACGGTGTGCTAGTGGTCTCTACATCATGAAATAGAATATTATTAATATTGAGTAACACCAATACCAGTGAGAAAAAGATGTGCTCAGCATCTAAAAAAGCATCATTAGCACTTATCTGTAAGTGCCCAAGTCCTACTAAATTAAATGTTTACATTGAGAAAACTTTTGAAGAAAGTAAAAAACAATCGAATCTGAATGGAACAAAAATGAACAGCAAGTAAGATGTTAACCTCATTTAGCAACTAAAGCAGCTTAGCAAAGACATGCATTTTCTGTTATGATTAATGATCGTACACTAATTTTTTAGGCGCCTTAAATCCAATTAGCAAAAGACATGCTTAGCATCTCTAAAAAACAACATCATTGGCACTCATCTCTCAGTGCCCAAGTCCTACTAAATTAAATGTTTACAGTGAGAAAACTTGTGAAGAAACAACTGAATCTGAATGGACTTATCTGAATGGAACAAAAATGAACAGCCAGTAAGATGATAGCCTCAAGCAGCTTAGCAAAGACATGCAGTTTCTACTATGTTTATGTATACTAAATTTTTAGTCTTCTTTAGTATAATTAGCAAAAGATGTGCTCAGCATCCCAAAAAAAAATCATCTTTGGCACTTATGTCAGATGGTTGCACACTTGCTACAGCTCTGAAACTTGGTAGTGCTATTGTTATCCGAAAATAGTTAAAGTGGCAAATATTTAGTAGTGGCAGGGATTTACTCTCTGATACTTTCCAACAGGGTATTTGCAATAATGAACAATGTATATGATGATGCATGCAAAAGTTGGCTTAAAATAGAAGGCTGGTGCTCACTGTACATACTAGCTCCGAAAACATCAACTCTAAAAGGTTATGTACAGGGCATGATAGGAAGCAACTACCGTGAATAGAGATGTTAGATGCAATGGCATTATCAGAACAAAACATGACATTTCTTCTTTTTCTTTGTTGTGAAATACCATCTGGGTGATCAGACGATTATTGCAATATTGTGATAATGTGATAATAAAGCTGGGAGCAAAAATATAATGAATGGTCAGAAAACTTGCTGAGCCAACATTTCAACTTATGACGGCCAGATTGTATTGTTTATTAAAAAAACTGCCATCCATAAATAATACTCCCTCCGTACTCAAAAATAAAGTCGTTTTGGACAAGGCTTGGATCAAACATTGGGAATATAAATCATGAATAACTTTTTAAGTTGTTGAGTTTGGAAATGTGAAAGCCATATAAATAGATTTGTCTTGAAAAATTCTTTCATAAAAATATACATATATCACTTTTTGATAAATATTTTTATAAAAACAAGGAGTCAAAGTAATACTTTGGAGACCATGTCGCTGTCCAAAACGACTTTATTTTTTAGTATGGAGGGAGTACTCAATGTGTTTGGTGAGCACTTCTAAAGCAGTAAGAAAAAGCATGGCAGCTGAATTAAAACCCTTTTAGTCTTTATTTCTCATAAGGTCATGGCACCAGTGGTAACCAAATGGCATTGGTGCTATATGGTAGTACCAGTGTAACGCAATGTTTTTAAAGGGGTATGCATTACAGTTGTTAAAATAAAAGGAATGTCCTTCAGGATCAGATTCTATATATCATAAGAAAGATTGTGAACTCTATTATATCCTCAACTGAATGTCCAGCATTACAAAAGTAATTAAAATTAAAATCTTAGTGAATCCTGATCTGCATAAAAATTCCTAAAAAGAAGCTGTACATATATACCAACGAAATGATTAAAAAGAAGGTGTATGTACCTAAAAAGCATTGTGTATATATACACTATCAGAACAACCAAGGATCTAAAACTAATTATTATCATAAAAATACTAATCTCAAAGAGTAAAGAATTGACGTGGTGATTAGTTGTCTGCATTTATACCTGGAACTGGATTGAAATCCAAATCCAAAGTATAGAAATCCATGAAAATCCAGACGTGAAGAATCCACACCCAATCATGTCCAATTTAAAGCGCAGAAAATCCTATCCTATCCAATCCATTCTCTAGACATCCGAAGTACATCCGTAATCCAATACGTATAAACGAATTGTGCTTCTTCCTGAGCACGTAGCGCCTGGCCGCCGCCCTCGCCGGGCGCGGACGCGGAGGCGTGGATGCAGTAGGTGGGGTTGGACTGGCCGTGCCCGAACTGGGTCAGCGACAGCGCCGGCGTGGGGCCCGAGAAGGCCGGGACGTCGGCAGCTAGGTAGCGCAGCAGCGCCGCCTCGTCCAGCGCCGCCGCCGGGTCGACCGGAAGGCTGAGAAGGTGGAGGTCACAGACGCGGCGCACCTGTTGCCAGAACTCGCCGCCGGTGGCCTTTAGCGGCTCCTCCGGGGCGGCCGCCAAGGACGCCGCGAGTGGATCTGGGAGAGATAGTTCCGACACGAGATAGAGAGAGGAGAGCTGGGGAGAGAGATAGAGAGAGACGAGGGAGAGAGAGCTGCGAGACGAGATAGAGAGAGAAAGGAGACCTGGGGAGAGAGATGAGGGAGACATACCTGCGAGACGAGAGAGAACAACCTGAGGAAAGTGGAGGCAGGCATGCGCGAGGCAGAAAAACGAGGCATGTTTTCGTGGGCGGAAAGACCATGATGGAACCCGCTGTATTAAAGTAATGTATACTTACACGCACCGGTGGTACCAGCTCAAATCTCGAGAACATATAGGCTCCGGGGGCGCTCGTACGCGAGGTTTTTTTCACTCTGAGCAATAGAGCCACCGTCCATGGCCACGGGGCATGGTCTTCCTCCTGGCTACCGTTTCGTGCCCACTGACGAGGAGGTGGTAGAGCTTTGCCTGCTCCCTCGCATCCAGGACCAGCCCCTCCTGCCGAACGACATCATCGAGGACGATCCGCTGAGCGCGCCGCCGTGGGCTCTCCTCGAGAAGCACGGGTGGAGGCACCAGGCCTTCTTCTTCGCGGCGTGTCAGGCCATGAACGCCAAGGGCAACCGCCAGAAGCGCGCCTGCGCGGGACACGGGACCTGGCAAGGGCAGGGCAAGAAGAAGCTGCGCGTGCGCGTGCACGGCAGCGCCGAGAAGATCGAGATCGAGTGGGACAAGTACGGGCTCAACTTCCAGGAGCATGGTGTCAAGGACAGCACGGGCTGGGTCATGCACGGGTACTCCATCACCGCGCCGCCCGAGCTCGCGCGGTCGCCGGTGAGGGTGTACTGCATCCGCTTCAGCGGCCACGGCAGGAACGCCAAGAAGAACAGCAGGGATGCACAGCATAGGGGCGATGACGACGAGTTCGAGGAGGACGAGGAGGAAGGGGACGATGCAGCAGGAGCAATCGCCACCGCTACCTGTAGTCCCGCGGAGGAAGACGCTGCCCTGTTCATCAATGCGTACCCGCCGGCACCGCAGCTCGAATACGACACTTCTTTTCCTGTGGTGGTGGCGGATGTTGTCAACCCCAACAATCCTGCTGATGGGGCGGACGCAATAGCAGGCTATGATCAAGACTTGGACTTGCCCGCGGTTGGTGGACGACGACAGTTTCATTTTCATGAACTCTGCAGCCTCGTGTGAACAAATAAAGGAAGGTGGCGCGACGCTGGGATACTGTAGCTATTGAAGGTGCAGGTGTCGTCACGGCTCACCTGCAGCATTGTAGGCATATACAGATACCGGCGTAGAGTCAGCCCCATATGTTATCTAGTCATTGTTGCAGCAGAGCAGCTGTACTGGGACTAGATGGATAGAGTTGTATAAATAGACTATCACGGCAACTCAGTAAAGAGAGTTCAGATTTGTCATCTCCCAGACAGGGCTTCGGTCAACGCTGGTGTCTCGTACTGTGTGTATGCTATGTTCTTCCTTCTTCTAGCTCTAGCCATAGTGCGTGGGGACGGACAACGCTTGTTCATGGTCGTCACGGCTAGTGGATGCTTGACAACATTAGCGGGTGCTCGGCAAGACCGGTGAGTGGTTCACTCACCTGAGCCGGTGATCCTGTGGGCCAACAAGTGGTATCGGGGCCGTACAAGCGCCGTCGCCAGACTAACCGCTGACGATGACGGACGGTTCGGAGATGGGCGACAGCAGTGGGACTGTTGTAGCTGCCCAGCCACGACCGGAGGTCGTTGTTCGCACGGTGCGGGAGGTCGGTGGCACAAGTTGGCCGACGCTGACTCGCACCAACTATGAAGAGTGGTCGGTGACCATGAAGGTCAAGCTCAGAGCCCGACGACTCTAAAATGCTATTGACAAGGGCACCGATAATGAAGAAGATGACATGTCAGCGTTGGAGGCTATCCTCGCTGCTGTACTAGCGGAGTACAGGGAGCCGTTGGGGGCGAAGAGCTCGGCTAAGGAGGCGTGGGAGGCTATTGCGGCGATGCGCGTCGGTTCCGACCGCGCAAAGAAGACGACGGCCCAGCTTCTGAAGCAGCAGTACACCAACCTCAAGTTCAAGGATGATGAAACGGTGGAGGACTTCTTTCTCCGCCTACAGACGCTCATCAGCAAGCTGAAGAGCCATGGCGTCACCATCGACGAAGAGGAGGCGGTCTCCAAGTACCTCCACTCCGTGCCGGCAAAGTACATCTAGATCGCTCTCTCCATAGAGACGATGCTGAACTTGTTCACCCTCACCATTGAGGATGTGACAGGCCGTCTGCGGGTGGTGGACGAGCGGCTGGAGCAGACGACAGCAACGAAGGACAGCGGGAAACTCCTGCTGATGGAAGAGGAGTGGGTTGCTCGGAGAAACTCCGGGAAGGCAGCCTCCTCCAGCCGCGGTGGCTATGGCAAGCGCCACGGCAAGGCTTCTTCGGAGAAGAAGCAGGTCGACCCCAACGCCTGCCGGCGCTACGGAAAGATGGGTCATTGGACACGGAAGTGCCCAAATCGCAAGCAGGAAAAGAAGGCTTAGGCTCATCTGGCGTAAGCTGATGATGAGGATGAGGCCACTATCGTGATGGGAACGTTCTGTGCACTACACGACGTTGAGACCAAGGAGAGGGAAGAGGCGACGACGGTGGAAGGACCTGGGAAGGCCCCGAATACTGTCAACCTCGACGAACCACGCGCCCAAGTTCACCTAGGATGTGTGGGCGCTGACCAGGAGCAGCGGTGGTATCTGGACTCTAATGCCAGCAACCACATGACAGGCTCCAAGGAATCCTTCTCCGAGCTCGACGATGATGTTACCGGTACGGTGAAGTTTGGTGATGGCTCACGGGTGGCAATCCAAGAACGCGGCATCATCATCTTCAGGTGTCAGAATGGGAAGCACTATACGCTAACGGATGTATATTACATCCCACAATTGTGTTCCAGCATCATTAGCATTGGTCAGCTGGATGAGCGCGGTAGCGAGGTACTGATCAAGGACGGGTATAGAGTCGAGATGGCGACTAGAGGGGGTGAATAGTCGTTACTAAAACTTAATCGCGTCGGCTAACCGAAACAAGTGCGAAATTAAAACTATCGGTCTATCCAAGACTACACCCCTCTATCTATATTCTCTAGCACCTTGTAAAGATCCTAATTAACCAACAAAGGTGCCAGGCTAGCTAGACCTCACCTAACTAATTCTAGGAGCAAGGTCACACAAACTTATACTACTAGTATTTCAAGCAATGAGGGAGCTCCTACACAAGCTAGTAAGTAAAAGCACAAAGCCAACTAAGCTCACTAGCAATGCTCAATAATAAGACAACCAATGCTAAATTAGAGAGTGCAAATACTTAGCTACACAAACTAAGCAATGTGACTAACAAGGTTACACAAACCAAATTAGCCACGCAAGGGAGCTACTTCTATGCTACACAAGTAAGAAGGTAACTAGTGAGCTACACAAGCTAACTAACTACAAGAGTAACTACACAAGCACAATGTATATAAAAGTAATCACAAGCTTGTGTAAGGGGATTGCAAACCAACGAGAAGAACAAGGTTGACACGATGATTTTCTCCCAAGGTTCACGTGCTTGCCAACACGCTACGTCCCCGTTATGTCGACCGCTCACTTGGTGGTTCGGCGGCTAATTGACATCACCCGCCAAGCCCGCACATCGGGCACCGCAAGAACCAACCCCAAAAGTGAGGGTAGCTCAATGACACGCTCAACTAGAGTTGCTCTTCGCGGCTCCCGCGGGGCGAGCACAATGCCCCTCACAAAGCTTTTCTCCAGAGCACCGCACAAGCTTCTTGTGGGCTTCGACGGAGACCACCACCAAGCCATCTAGGAGGTGGCAACCTTCAAGAGTAACAAGCACCACCGGCTTGCAACTCGATCACCTAGTGCCACTCAATGCAACCTCATGATGCAATCGCACTAGAATTGCTCTCTCACACAATCGGATGATCACTACCAAGCATATGTGAGATGGAGGGCTCCCAAGCACTCTCAAGCATGGACACAAAGTCCTCCAAGGTGCTCAGCACCAGCCATAGCCGAGACACCCTTCTATTTATAGCCCCACGGGCTAAACTAGCCGTTACCCCTTCACTAGGCGTTTTTCGGGTTGACCGGACATGCCGGTCAAATCGACCGGACGCAGGACCACAGCGTCCGGTCAACGGATGCTCACCACATGTCGCCACCGTTCAACTTCAGTCGCTTGATCTCAATGGTCAAGAGATGATCGAACACAGCTATTCAAAGTGACCGGACGCAGCAACTCCAGCGTCCGATCGTTTTCAGTAAGGTACCAGTCGCGATCGGACGCGTCCGGTCGGTCACAATCGAACGCAGCATCAGCGTCTGGTCTTTCTCCACCTTCTTTGTGTCACCTACGTCACCGTACGTCAATCTGACCGGACGCACCCTGCCAGTGTCCGGTCACTTTCAGCGCCAGCGTCCGGTCGAAGACCAACGCCTGCACGCTCTCTGCCGCCACTAACCAGATGCAGGACCCTAGCATCCGGTCACCACATGACTAGCGTCCGGTCCACTCTGTGAGACTCCGTCTTTTTCTGTATAGGGTGCCGGTGGCACCGTCGGACTGTCCGCACTCTACGGGCGAACACTCCGCCAGTGGAGTTTTTAACCCTTCTCGCCTCTGTTTCATCGCTGAGTTGATCCACATCAACTCCAACTTTATCTCCTTTGTAAATGTGCCAACACCATCATGTGTATGTGTGTTAGCATTTTTACAATTATTTTTCAAAGGATTAGCCACTCAACTTGCCACGCCACTAAATCCTAGCGACGATGCAAAGTTAGATCACTCGAATGGCACTAGATGACCGATATGCAAACAAGTTTGCCCCTCTTGATAGTGCGGCCATCTATCCTAAACCCGGTCATCAACTTCTCTACACACCTATGACCGGTGAAATGAAATGCCTTAGATTATACATTTGCCTTGCGTATTCCATTCCATCTCCTCTAATGTCGATGCAACACATGCACCAACATGATCAACAATGATATGATTCACTCCATATCATCACGTGATCATATTGGTTCATCGATCTTGACTTCACTTGCTTTTCACCGTTGCCTTCGTCCATCGGCGCCAAGTCTTGCTCAAGCTTCACCGCCACGCGGTCCGTCGCTCCAAAGCCTCCGACTTGCCCTTCACGCTTACAACCGGTCCATTAAGCCAAGTCTTGTCTTGATCTTCTCCACCTTGATCACATGACTCAATGTCATGTCTCATGTGCAATGAGCTCCTTCATCATCATATGTGTGAGCTTTGCAACATCTCCAAGCTATTTTCGCATTCATGGCATATGTTGCTCACACACATATACCTGTGGACTAATCACCTGTGTATCTCACATAAACACAATTAGTCCATCTAGGTTGTCACTCAATTACCAAAACTACACAAGGACATTTCAACGGGGTCCTTAGGATCAGGGACTGGGAGCAGCGACTTCTTGCCAAGGTGAAGAGGTCCCTGAACCGGTTGTACCTGCTCGACCTGAAGGTAGAGCAGCCGGTGTACCTGACGGCAAGGCACTCCGAGGAACCGTGGATGTGGCATGCCCGTTCGGATATCTCAGCTTTGATGCGCTTGGTTGGCTAGAAAAGATGGTCCGAGGGCTATCCCATATCAAGCACGGAGGCGAGCTGTGTGACAGCTGCTTGGCTGGGAAGCAGAGGAGGCTACCATTCCTAAAGGCGGCCAAGTTTCGTGCAAAGGATGCTCTCGAGCTCGTCCACGGTGACCTCTGCGGGCCGATCACGCCTGCTACAAACGGTGGTCGGTGGTACTTTCTCCTGCTCATGGATGATTGCAGTCGCTACATGTGGCTGCAACTCCTGACGAGCAGGGACGGAGCGGTGGCGGCGATCAAGAAGTTCAAGATGCGCGCGGAGGCCGAGAGCGGCAAGAAGCTCCATGTGCTTTGAGGATCGATCGCGCGGCGAATTCACTTTGATGAGTTCGGCGTGTGTCTTCAGGCGGATCGGGGTGTGGCAACACCACACACACGCCATACTACTCGCCACAAATGAAATGGCATGGTAGAGAGGCGGAACCAGACGATGGTCAGCATGGCCCGATCCATGATGAAGGCCA